GCGATGGTCGATTTTTATTTAAGCGGATTTTATTAATACTATCGAGTGGGCTTTGAACGCTTGTAGCAAGGAAAATACTGCAAGCCCATTACGGAGCATAAAACGAATATATGACGCTATGAAGCCGAACCGTTGAATATATATCTACTGTATTTATAATATACAGAAAGCCAAGCAAGGTCATGTTCACAACTAGTTGTTTTCCGGTCGTTCGTAGTATGTAGTATAACGGTAATAACTACCAATATCGAAACTTAATCGTTAAAAATCATAATTTTTATATGCGGAAGCAAGTACGTGTATCCAGTTGCTACTACAGGTAATTTTAAAAGCATTATTTAGAAAAAAAACAACGCTAGGAGCTCTCAGCAAAAGCGGAATGAGATCCCGGTCCTATTATAGCGGGAATATAATGCGAGACAAATGAATAAACAATTCAATATTAACTGCGAGCACTTATTTTGCATGGTGAGAGACAGGTTGCAAGCTAACGTGGTTCGTATACTTGTAGCGTAGTAGTCTGTATCACTACGTACGGTTTGTCTACTGTAAATCTGAGCAAAACCCTGTAGAATAGATACAACGCTAAAAAATAGAACAATTTCGTCAATAATGGCCCTGCAATAGTGGCCTTAATTTGCTCTTAATCACGTGACAGGCTTGGATGCTGTCATAGGCACTATGGCTGCCACTGACACTGATGCTCTTACTATCTTTAGCTCTTCACACTGATAATAACCGTGTCCTTGTCAAGAATTTATGATGCGATGCACCGTTTACCGAACCCGGGCGTGGCAATACAGTTTCTATTGCACGACATTAACAATAGAGATGCATGTTCGCAATGACTTGCGACACTCACTCGGCCTTTGTCCTGTCGACAACGTAACACACGGCCATCTCGTATGCGTGCAGCGGTAAACCCCCGCGAAAATGGCTTCGATTTTTCAAGGACAGCCTAAGGAACCAAAAGCAAAGCTAGTGTTTACGATTTCGGAATAACGCCTCCGTTCCTTCTTCGTCGCCAGTTTATTAGTCAACAAATCTAAAGTGGTTAATCGTTTATCTTCAGTTGTAGCTGAATGAGTACTGCTGCAGTAGCGGCAGCAGTGACAGTTGTCTCGTTGAGCCAGCGACGGTAGATATAGGACATGAGAATCGTAAAAGACAGAAGCGCACCCACATGTGCGCCCATTGCGGCAATGGCGTTGGCCGAATCGCCGCGAATCGGACGACAAGAAAGCAATGATTGCAATCACTGCTAAACGATACTGATATTGCTGTTGTTATAGGCAGGGCGATAGAAAGCTGTGGCGGGAGCTGTATGAGAAAGCTGCCTGACTGGGAAAGGCAGACAGAAGTACTACCGAACGCTTCCAAGGAAAGAGGGCACACTATGGCCATTGTTCGACAACTAGATTCGCGATGCGTCGAACGCGCAGAATTTTTTAAACATCGGTCTCCGAAATCCAAATAACTAAAGGTTTGTCTTCAAACGAAAAGAGGCATCGAATGAGCGTCGGTAACGTCTTCGGCAGTAAAAATAGCGGCGGCAGAAAAGTTCTTTTGTGTGATTGTTCATTATTCATAGCCATCCCTATTACAACTATACTAGTTAGCAGGAAGGCACATCTGACTTTTGCCCCTATCTAAATTTTGATGTCCTTAATTTCTGTTCGACGCTTTTTTCCCGCTCGCCTGCTTCTGCCTGACGCGTAGCAGATGATAAGTAAACAGAAAAAAGGTACATTGACATCTCAAACATAAATATCGTTATGGACTCTGTGGGATGTTTATATATTTAAGTTTTGCGGGTAGATCCGATTTGTTAATGTTCTTCATAAAGCAGAAATTAAAATAAAATTTTTAAATTATCAAAGGGTGTATCATCGGCCCTTTAATATATGCCGTATAACGGATATTTATATTCAATGGTTATACCATATTTAATACGTTATTGCACACTACACTTTGTTTAAAACATTGCTGAAGATGGCTGGTTCTTCACACACTCTTCTATGCACTGTGTATCATGACACTGCATACGGAATTAAATTGTCAAGCTTAATCAACTTCAATAGATCTACATACAATAAACGGGGTGGGTTATCTGTTTACCGTTCATTAGCATTATTGTGTTTAATGGAAATGGAATATTCTGACTAGAATTCTATACATTCCATAGTATGACGTCGTTAATGAGGTGCGGAAGACGAGAAAACCTCGCGCAGAATATTTGGTAACGAAATGCATTCAGTTTTGAAGGCAGAAGGTGAGGCGATACAGGCGTCAATTTATAGTGACGATACATCTGCTGGTATTGAATTAAGCCTAACGGAACTTACATCCTCGCACGTGGACTTCTACCAAGTGAATCCCTCTAATGTAGAATAAAACATGCCATATAGAAGGAGTCAGTGTGCGTTGGTAATAATTTGAAAATAGACACACACACACACACACACATACACACGTACAGGACCAAAGTCCTATGAGATCAGCCGTACTTGCATCTAACAGCTGGGGCAAGTAAATATATATATATATATATATATATATATATATCTTATCTATCAACCAATTTATGCATCCCATTGTGACAGAAATTCTCAAATCTGATTGTGAAGAACTCCTTAGGAGTCCTTTCATTGTCAAAGGCGCGACTTTTAACTTAATTTACCAGTAACCAGAGAAGATGAAAATTCGTAGGGGGCAGGATTTAAAAAATATAGTGGATGTAAAAAACCTACCACTTAAGCTCTTTCAGGTCAGCTTTTGCAGAGTTTGCCAGGTGCGGCTTAGCATTGTAATAGGGCAAAAAGCCTCATCAATCGGGTCTTTTCTCTTGGATAGCCTCATTCAATTGATGTAACTGAGCCATATACAAATGCTTTTTAACCGATTTGTTCCCTCGAGCACTTCCAATCCTACCCGGCGCAAATTGTAGTCTTCTCAGGATAGAGATCCGGCTTACCTTTAGACCTAGACGTTTCTCCTCGAGTTAGCCATTTACTTCTCTGTCGCATACAAACGGAAAGACTCCGCTTCTCGTCACCCGTAACACTTGTGTGTAAAAGTCTATCATTGTGGTTGTTCGTTGTTTGGTGCCATATTTTTCTTGTCTACCTATTCCCTGAGGCACTTCGAGACCTAGTTCTTAATAAAATTCCATACAGTCAAGATGTCCAACAGCAGTCTGGTCTTCGCAGCTTACCTCTTGAAATGATTGCCATTCGAGTACTTCATATAGCCTACCGGAGTGGGGTGCTTCTTTCTTAGATTCCATCTTTAAGCTTAACTGGTCTCTTCGAACAGTTTTCTAGATTACAGAGTCTTTAATGAGCTTTCTATTTCGATGAAAGGCAAGATAGAGTAAATAAACAGTTGTTTTGCATAGAATCTTCATCTTTAGAGCTTCAACTCGCCCTTAAAATTTGGTTCACCACACCACAGAATCTCAAGAGAGAGCTCTTTCAAACGGTGTACAGAGTTAGGAAAAAAAAAGGTATTTTTTACTTTATATATATATATATATGGTTAAGTCTATGTTGGATCGACCAGACAGAGTGCTTATTTCCTTCGTGAAGTTAAATTGTGTAGCAATTTTTGCATTAAATCTTGTAAAGTGTAAATATTATATAAGTGTGTGTATAGTAGCGCCAAATATGTATGAACATATGTAGCTGTTTAGCGTTTGCTTTTAAAATGCGATGCCGAATTTAGGGTATCTAGCGATTTTTGTAGTCGCGCTTTGCCCTTTATTTTTTCTGATTTAGTTTGATCGCTGCTATACCACTCAAGTGTTGCCGACAAGCTAAGACGCTAGGTTTTTCAGTGTTGTGCCGTGCTCCTTTCAGCGTTAAAATTTTTCACCTGATTTTATTAGACAAACGTCAAATTTCTATTATGATACCAGTACATTAAAATATTGTCATTCTGCCTCTGTTAAGTTTTTCCTTCTATTAGGTAGCTCCGGTCCATTCCCAAACTAAAACTGCCTAAAGTATCTCACCGACGACAAAAATAATCAACCCTGGACAGCCTCATCTTGAGAGCACGTACCATTTATATGAAACGTATTTTTGTCAGTGATACGAACTGCCCCTTTTTTTTTTTGAAAATAAGCACATTTTCTAATCGTTCTAGCGTGAACTCTAGGCATGGCTATAAGTGCCAAGATTTTCAATTCATATAGCTCCGTTCATTTCGAGCGTATGACAAACCACGTGGAAACAGGAAATGACAAATGGTGAGATCTTTGCGCAGATGAGCCAAATTAAAAAAATTAGGGAAGTTAATTTACCGATCGTACCTGTAACCCCCCACTTACCGAACGTAAGTGGGATGTACAAGTCCTCGTTTAGATGGGTTTATACTAGCATACGGTATATTTAGTCAAATGCACATACACCCATACTGGCTAACGCAGTTTCTAAATATTTTGTCACCGAAGATATTGATGCTTAGATTCGTTTGTGCAAATCGTTCATTTTTTCTTCCTCTCTCTTGCCCTCGTATGCGAGAGCCCCACTACTAAATAAAGGAAATGTAAATAAGTGTGTCCTCAGTGGCTCCGTTTCTTCGCTAACAACGCCGCGCTTGTATTTCTGATCGTGTCACTATCTACAAATCGCTAGAACGATTGAGTTCTGAGCCAACTGCAGGAGTCCAGTTTTGCTGGACACCCTTCCGAGCCCAGATAAAATCATCTACCTAAAGCAGTGCCCAAAAGGCGTTATCGGCTCTACAAGCTCAAGACACTTAACTAGATTAGATAATCAGAGCGGTAGACGTTTATTACTACTGCGAAGACTGAACTTACCGATAATATATATACGTAAGGCATAATAAGGTGGACAATGAGTATTATTTTTTCCGATTTTTTTTATATATATCGATATTGATCATTTTGCTTGCATAAGCTGACCGTTAATTGTTTTTTAATGTGCTCTTTATGGAAACAAAGGTCGAATTCAATATATCTGGGTATGCATTTCTAGATCGTTTGCAGGCAAACTGCTGTAAGAAACCCCACGAGGCAAGGTTTGAACACGGCGAAAAACAAGGGAAAGTCTGCATAACGAAAGGTAACGACTCTAGTGACCTAATTTTGTCCCATTTTCCCATAGTTAATCGTGGCAATGTCGACGGCGGAAACACGAGAAATTGATTTAAACGCTGACAATACGAATAAAGCGCCTGGCAGTGCGTTTAACGTTAACTTATAATAAAAGCTAAAAAATATTGCGGCATGTTAATGTTGGTGTTTCTTTACTAAGAAAGGCTAAAAGAGAGAGAAAAAGGGAAACATCGAAAATAAGATGGGCTTATTTTCTACAAATACTTGATTAAACGATACAAAGGAATCTCCGCGGCCGCTGTGCTTCCATATACCTCCTCTCTGCTAGCGTAAGTTTTGTTAATAATAATATTATTTAATAAAATAATAAATAAAATAAAAACACAGCCAGGTAACTCGCCACATTTAGCGAACGACGCATTTGAGATGTTTGGAGCTGACGCGTCTCTATACTTATCAAATCCGATTACGGCGTCGGGATAGATAATTAATTCCTGTGGGGTTTGTATGATCATGTTAGGCCAACCAAGCGACCGATTACGAAAATTTCAACAAAAAGCTCACGAGCCCTAGATGGACAAACGAGCTAGGTCGCGGTACAGGCACCGGCTGGCCCTGGCTTCCGTCTTTTGGTGATCAACTCCACTCGTAATCAAGATGTCCCCGCTTCCGCTTAGCGACGCCAAAATCGTTCGATAATACGGTGGTTAATATTAAAACAAGAAACGCGGCCATATAAGATAGTGATTAACTGAGTTTCGTAAATAAGTCTGGACCAAAGCTAGTGCTTCCTTTGTCGTCTAGTTGTACTTAATGCCCCTAATGATACTGCGTATCGATTCAGCTAGTGCATAGTTTCGTCCATGGACAAAGTTCGTTTACACATATCGTTTCTATGACCGAATATAATAAATATGCAGTATACGGGAGCAGGATACGGACACTTCAATCGAAGACCTTGATGCGCATTTTGCGTACCTTTATAGTTTTACCATTTTTGGCACCTTGCGGCCAATTTTGAGAACAAGTCGACATCATTCGTCTGTAATATATCAGAGAAGACTTCCATACATTCTGGGCGTTTGGAGTCAGATGTATGCTGATCGTTTCACTTAGCTCTTAATTGTGAGGTGGCTGCCATTTTGTAGAAGTTTTAATACCGACCTTGAGTATTTTACCCAATGTCTGTGCATTTCGTTGAAGCGTTTCGATGAATTCTATCTAGATAGTATTGTTAGTTGACTTTCGATATGTAGGCTACGTGGCAGAAAACGGGGCCTTGAAGGTTTCGTTTCACTTCGTTGTAACACTGTAAATAATAAACAACCCTAATACTTATTTTTGAGACGATGAATAGTAGAAATATATTTCTTACACAGTTTGAAATTCTGAGCTGCATTAAGCATTGCATCAGAAAAAGAGGAAGACTGCCCGCCGTTTTATGATCCCAGACATTTGGCATCAAGTTCTATACGCTATTGCTTACACTTAGAGACATTGAGTTTCAAAATGTGAAACGTATTAAAATTCATCCATTGGCTCATTGTGTCATTACGCGAACTTTGACCTTTTTATCTACTATTCTAACTATAATTCTTTTTATTTTTGGCTATTATGTGAAAATTGCTAATTCGTTGCACACCTTATCGATGCTTTAAGCATTCTTTCTCAAATGTTACCGTGAACTTTACGTACCTGACGGCTTCCCTATATATTCAGTCTTTTTGTTACGAAATCGCTTCAGGCCCCACATTAGCGTTTATTGCCATTTTCCTCGTGATATGCCTTGACTACATGGACGTTTTCCCGTGCCCCTGATTTTGACCGCAGGCCATCTTCTCACCGGCACAACCACTTGCTCGAACACTCCTTTCTGCTCCAGCCTGCGGATTCTCCATTTCCATGCGGTTGTTAAGCCTTCTTTACTTTAATGAGCTGCATTAGGCGCCCGCGAGCGTCGATCGAGATAAATTAAGTTAGGCCGCGGAAGGAGCGACGTAAGACAGCAGACGTCTGATATGAAAAGAACTTGATAAGTATTTAATTAAGAAAATGAAGAGGCAGCCAATGTTGCGCGAATAGAAAAAAAACTCAGATTATTCTTTGAATTTTGAAGCATTTGTCAATAGGAATACGTCGCTCACATATCACAAAACCGCATGCATACGATGCACAATCGGACAGAGAAATCTATATAACACCTTAACAGGCAAGCAGTGAGGATTTAATATGATACTGTGAAACTAAATTATGCCCAAATACTGTATATTTATAGTTGTACCTATGGCACCTTTTTAAGTGACTTGATAGCTTCAATAGTTCCCAGTCTCTTTGCCAGATGCAGCACTCTGGGAAGGTAAAAATTCAAGGCGGAGTTCACCTTTACGATCCATGTGGGCGGATTTATGGATGAGCTTGACCAGGCGCTCTGTCTCACGAAGGATAAAAAGACAAATAACTACCTCTTAATATCAGAACGAGTAGAAGAATTAATAGAAGAAAAAAAAAGAGGAATTATTTTGCCAGCTTATCGACACGGCTTTTGGATGAATTCTTCATAGTCCCGCTCATTTGCGAGCAAGCTTAGCCTACTCCGGGTGGTCATTTATATATCTAACTACAAGTGCATGTACATTGGCTTGTAGTCATAAATTCTTTGGTCTTTCCGTCTTGTGTTCACAAAGTTTTTCGACCACTATGGCCATTTGCTGTCCGCACCTGACGGCATCTCTACCAGCACGATGCGGGGCTTGGAAAAAAAACTACTCTATTTGGTAGCGTTTCAGTCTGATCGGCATTGCGTTTGACTTTGTCTAATGTAATGCAGTAGCTTTTGCTTCTAGACAACGGCTCGTTGCGTTCCGGTAGGGAAGCGGAGGTGGGGCACACGAGTCCGGGCGACGACGAAAGAATGAAGCTCGTTGTTCTTCATCTCTGGCTTTTCTGATTCTCCTAACGAGTAGCAGAAAAAGAAGAATAGCATGGAAGAGGGAGTACATGAAGGAGTGGGCGGTCGTGCAGCCGAACCAAGAACCGAGACAAGTTGACGACGATGATGCCTGTCCGGTTGGTCGACTGGCTGGCTAGCCATGACAACGGCGGAGGAGATAACATGGATAGCAATAAATGGCACAAGAAGAGCCATGGTAACGGCGCTACAGCGGCCTCACGTAGCAGCCGTACCACTGGCATCAGTCACACGTAGAAAAACTGATGCAGCCTGCGGTCGTCCTTCGTCGTAGTGGCAGCCTTTGTTTGTAGCAACTAGCCGCTGGAACTGATACTATAGAAGACGACACGTACATACAGAGAAGAGTAGAGCTTAGCATACTAAGGGAATACAGGGTACAGCACAAGATAGGACAAGTATGTCCAGGACAATTAACACCCCGACAACAAGCAGACTAGCAGCTGCCGGCTAGCTTGTGTCAAGATCGAATAATGAAAAAAAAATCTGAAAATAGAGGCAGATTGAGAAAACACATAGAGGGCAACAGGATGAACAAGGCGAGAAGCCTTTTTGTCTACTGTGATAGAAGCAGGGTACATTTCTCTTATACCCGGCCAAGCAACGAGGCAGCAATGGCAGTTGTCGCGGAGGCTGCGGTGATATCTGTGTCTGTTTGTGCTGTTCGGCTTGTTGGGGCGGCGGGTGGATTTGACCAACAGGAAATCCAGCAGACATAACTCCAGCATCGGAGTTAAATCGCAGGACGAACGCCATCAGCAGGTACTGTTTTGCATCTGAGCGCTTCTTCTAACCCAGCTTCTGAACTCCCATTATACTGCACCGTTAGCCTGTGTGTGACTCTTAAAATAGTCGTGTTCGGTTTTTGCCACTACGACCACTACTGCGCACTAATACATTTGAGAGTAAACAGTTTGAGGGCCGAACTAACGCCGAGCGAAACGACATTCATTTACTCAGCGACAGCTAAAGGCACCATTATTAGCCTTCTTTTTCTTTATCCGGTCTTAAAAGCGTCACTTCCCATAATACCAGTAGACACAAGATAAGCTTACAGTGATAGAGGAAAAAGACTATGGGGTGGCGCTGCAAACCAGGCCAGCCTACAAAGCTGACAAGGCCTGATTTTATCAGCGTCATGATTACGGACTGCCATTAGTAGGCACTAATAATAGGCAGCGGCCAAGATGATTAAAATTGTTCGGACTGGGGCGGATGTAACTGAGCAAGCATAGATTCTGCGTCTTAACACGTCCACCCCTTGTATGTGGATCGTGCTGAAGGTATATTTATTTATTTTACTTATTGCTACCGTCTTTGTAGGATTACAAATTAGATAGACAACAATAGTAATGGTGGCCACGATGCAAAAACGAAGCCTAACGGTATTCCAAGTGAGAAAATGGTCTTTAGTAGTTACAACGGATATAGTCAACAGACACGTAGTTTGACGCGCTGTGTGTGTGCCCTCGTTTTTCATTTGTCAGTCGTTATGGCAACCTCGGTCACTCCATTACTGGAGAACGAAAGCACAATGCTGGTCATTCAAAGCCTTCGATGGGGGCAAACGAGGAAGCAACAAGAAAATGATAGGCCGGCAAGAATGCACACTTTGTTAGCTGTAAATAAGGATCAACACCTACTGAAGAATGCTCAAAAAATTTTCGGCTGGTTAAGAGGCATGGAAGCTCAACGATTTATATTCGGATAATTATAAAAGTTTTTTTTTTGGCTCTTAAGCAACTTCGAACTCGTCTGTTCCAGGTTGTGACTGAAATTTTCATGTTTTATGTGACTGATTCTCGCATGTTTCGATTTGACTTTGATATGCGCTCGGTCATGTAGCACATCTGGAAGCGTGAATTGTTCAAGTGTGTTAAACGACTTGAAGGTTCTCGGGTCCCACATCAGGTCGGGCTACAGAAGCCAGCTCAGATAAGACCCAAAGCAGGTAAAAGAAGCGATTATGAAGTACATAAGATTTCGACATGTTATTTACTTACAAAGTAACCATATAAGGGATTTTGTGTGTAGCCTCT